AGTCGGCCTCTTGCCCCCAACAATCTGGAAGGAGGGAAGGCTGAGTCAACCTGGAGCCTGGTGGGATTTAAACTGCGAAATTGCAGGCAGCCAGCAGTCAGCAGAAGTCGCCTGCAGTACTGCACTCTCACCACTGCACCACCAGGGCTCACCCTATATAGTTTGGTTAGTCTCTAGTTTTGTTGCAGATTTATCAAAATATTTTCTGAAGTTTTGGACAAATATGTAGTGGTACAATTGGAGGACATGCTCATTTTCTCCCCTAGAAATCTTATCTTTGTACAAGTCTTAAACCTTTTTGATAAATCTGCAGATGTAAACTTTCTACGAGAGGAAAAACTGCTGTTGATCTTCCCCAGTTGAACTGTGGGTGACCAGATCTCTACCGAAGGGCTATGAAAGTGTAGTCCATGTTCTCTTGGCAGACATCTAGAACTAGGACAGTGTTGTTTTCTGAGCTGTGCAAATTATTACAGAAATCGTGCAACATCTCTGTCAAAGCTCCTAAAGAGAGGACATAACTTAAAATGGTCAACCCAAGAACAGGTGGGATTACAGGATTTGAAGATCTTTTTTCTGTCCTTGCTCAGACGTCCAGACTGCACTTGTCCCTCTGGGAGGCAGCCAAATGTATTCAGGCTGAGGGTGAAGCATTGTTCTCTTTCTAGTTGCACCAGGAGACCTCCAGGGTCCCTTTCAGTCCTGTCATTCTAGGAAGGGACAAACGAGGCCTCCTGCCACAGGGGCTCTTATTCTGTGGATGTCTCCCAACTGAATGGAAGGAGGACCTTTCCCTTCAAGGGCCGCTTGCAATTGTGGCTGTTTCCCTGCAAGGGAGGCGTCTCCTTGAGGGAGCAACCCCTTCAGGGTACTTTGGGCACGCAGAGATTAAGAGATCAGGCTGCTGGTTTGAGCTCCGAGGTTGGCAGCTTGGTTGCAGGCGTTTCGTCACCATTCGAGGAGACAGCGTGAGATCCCGGCTCCTCCAAACTTCTCTGGCAAATCCCAGGAGGGGGCAGAAGTGGGGAAGGGCCGGGCTGTATAATTGCCATAATGCCCAAGGGTGGGCCTAGAATAACAAGGGAGGCCTGGGGTCAAAGGTGAGGCTTTGTGGTGCATTCCTTCAGTTCAGCTGTTACGTTCTAGAAGTGTCCGCCTGCTGAAAGTCCAGCAAGGAAGATCTTCTGATTTGTCTCTTTGCTGCTTGTCTTCCCTTCCCTGATTATTGTAACTTGCAGGTGGATGAAGCGTCCTCGGTGTGGAGTCCCTGACAGAATTGGGGCTCAGGTCAAAGCTAACATGCGGCGGAAGCGATACGCACTGACCGGACGGAGGTGGACGCAGATGCACCTGACCTTCAGGTATGTCCAGCTGTTGAGGCCCAAAGCAGAGCGACTGGGAGACCAGAGCTCAGGTGCAGCTCTTGAAGTGCTGAGTGAAAAGAGGTTCACGTACGTTTGCTACATGCCAGGATCTGATGGTTGCGAGGAAGATTTTGCCAACGAGGGTTACAGAGACGGAGGGGAGGGGCTGGAGGTAGGGGTGAGGTTCACGGAGAGGAGCCTAACGCTACAGAAGGCCACTTCTTTGTTGGGGTCATTGCTGGAAAATTTCCAAGACCAGCAGGGACATTTCTGTTTCCAGGAGAACGAAGTGAGGTCTTTGAAGAGGAGAAATCTTACTTTAGTCTACAGAGTTATTCGTGCATTTTGAATTTGAATTGTCCGAGGTGCACCTGAATGATGTCTGTGGATTGTCACAGGTTTGGTCCCTGCTGATTTTCCAGATGCCTGTCTGGAGTCCCTGGAAGAAACTTTCTTCCTATGGAGTCTCTTAAGACTCTAAAGGCTGAGCAGATTTTGTGGCCTTCGTGGGAAGTGGGCCCCCTCATCCGAGGCCCCCACACCCAGAGAGGTGGCAGCTGTGGTGTGTTAGACCTGTGCAGGAACTGAGGTTCAGTGGCGGAGAAGCCAAGCGACAAAGGTGAGGCCTCCCGTGGTGATGGGTCCTCGTAGCCGTTTCCAGGCCCTCTCCGCTCTCTGCCTTCTCTGGAGCTCAGCACCCTCCTCCGCCGCTCTCCTGCCACAGGACTCCTCCTCACCTTTGCTGCAAGCTGCGGTTGTGCCTGCTATTCTCTTGCACCTCCCTTTTGGAAAGCTTGGGGGGGGGGAAGGGGGGGCCTGCAGCCCAACTCCTGAAGAAGCATGGGGAACTGAGAGACGGAGTGGCATTTGGGGGTGGGGGGGGCTCCCTGAATCAGGGGTCTCCAACCTTGGCCACTTTAACCCTGGAGGGCTTCAACTCCCAGCTTTGCTGGCTGGGGAATTCTGGGAGTCGAAGTCCTCCAGGCTTAAAGTGGCCAAGGTTGGAGACCCCTGCCCTAGGAGGGCATCCTAACCAGAGGCAGTAAGATCTCTCTGGGTTTCCCGCCCCCCTCCTGCTCTCTCTTTGGCAGCATCCAGAACCATACGGAGAAACTGGGGCTCTTCCACTCCTACGAGGCCATTCGCCAGGCTATCCGTGTCTGGGACCAAGTCACCCCGCTGGCCTTCCAGGAGATCCCCTACAGTGACATCAGACAGAAGGGGAGAGCAGAGGCCGACATCATGGTGCTCTTTGCCTCGGGGTTCCATGGGGACAGTTCCCCCTTTGACGGCACGGGGGGCTTTCTGGCACACGCCTATTTTCCCGGTCCTGGAATGGGAGGAGATGCTCATTTTGACTTGGACGAGCCCTGGACGCTGGACAAGAGGGACGTGTTGGGTAAGGAAGTTGTCCCAGCGTAGGAGAAGATTAGAAGGGCCTTGAAGGACAGGAGAAGCCACTGCCAAGGCAATGGGGACAGCCCCCTCCCTACTTTCCATGATGATGGGAGAAGCCCAGGCAGACATTCATGCAGACATTCTGTTTCTATGGCTTTCAGTAAAATAATCCTGGCCTGGATGGCTTTGCTTTCTTACTCTGGTCTACCCTGGAAGGGCTGATGGATGGAAGGAAGGAAAGGAAAGGAAAGGAAAGGAAAGGAAAGGAAAGGAAAGGAAAGGAAAGGAAAGGAAAGGGAAGGGAAGGGAAGGGAAGGGAGGGAGGGAGGGAGGGAGGGAGAGAGGGAGGTAGGGGAATAGGAATCTTGTGTGGGCCTCAGCCCCACTCAACCAGATGGCACTTTCCAAGCGATTCCCACTTATTCAGTCTTAGGAGAGGAATACCTGTCAAGATGCGGCTGATGGAGCGTCCTGGGTTTCTATGTACTTTTTTGCTTGACAATGTAACTGTCAGGACTCCGGCAGTTACCCCCAATTAAATCATGAGTCTCGAGCCAAACTTCCAAAACTTAAAAAGGTTTTATTGGGAGTTAAAAGGTCCGGCACTGCCTGGGTGGAGCCGATTCTGAGACACATCATTCCTTGCCACCCTTGCCCCTGGTCCCCCCCCCCCCCCAACTCCCTGGGTGTATCATAATTCATATTCTCCAATGGGACACATCCATAGCCCAGATCATCAATCATGCTCTCCAGGTAGACTTTTGCACAGCAGAAACTTCGGTCACCTAATTACTGTCTTTGAAAACATTTATGGAATGCAGTTTCGGTTTGCAAGCTGCTGCACTGCTCCCCCCTCCCTTTCTGTTGGCAGCTCTAAAAAGACCATAGAAATATTTTATGAGTTGACAGTATCTCTTCCATCTATACCGGCGGGCTCCTCTTCCCTCCCTGAAGCCAGCTGCTGGCCCAGGGGGTTCTTAACATAGAATCTTGATTCACCCTGGATGTCCGTCTTCAAGGGCAAAGGGCCTCCTTGGGCAGGTGTGGGTCAGTGGAGTGCAGAATTGGGAAGCCTTCGGAGCCCACAGGCTTTGCTGTTTTCTACAGGGAACAATCTCTTCCTGGTGGCCATCCATGAGCTGGGCCATTCACTAGGCCTGGAACACTCCAATAACCCGAGTGCCATTATGGCTCCCTTCTACCAGTGGATGGACACGGACAACTTCCGGTTGCCAGACGATGACCTTCGGGGCATCCAGCAGCTGTATGGTAAGTGGCAACCAGGCTGGGTGTGTAGGGTTCAGGTGTTTAAAAAAGTAGGAGGCAGGATAAATGTTCCAAGCTGCACGGCAGGTATCTAAGGATGCTGCATGGGGGAAGCCAGGTTTCTGCCTGCCAGGGACTCTTATTTCCTTTGCAACCGTCTTCATGATGTCTACCAGTCTATCTCGAGAACTGGCGGAGGCTGGAAAATGTCCTTGCCTGGGGTGGGGGGTGGGGGGTAAAAATGCCTGCAAGGCAGCCGCCAAGCTCCGAGAGCACCCAGGACTCCACAGGTCAACCCTGAGCTGCAGCGATTCTCTTCCGTAGGTCAGAGAGTGAAGATGTTGGCTCCCTCTGAGATTTGGTCTGTTTGAGAGCAACCCGAGGGCATCTCAAGGTTTATTCCTTCGGCAGCTCTCCTCCCTGGACATAATTTGGGTACTTTCCTGGTGGAAGGAGGATGAGTTGGTTGCAAACAAACGTTTATTTCTCTGGGTGGGCAACCTGTGGCTCCTGGACTGCATTAATGCCTTCCTGGCAGGCCTTCTGAGCCTCCAGAACCCCCCAAGTAGCAGGGCTCAAATACTCGTTTCAGCCTCAGTTTTTCAAAAACATTCAAATCCTGGGTTTTTTCCCCTTATCGTGAGCAATTTTCAAAGGAAACTTTGCAAGCTTGGTCTAGGCATTCAGTGGCCAGGCTGCCTGTGGCCTTTGGAGGGCAAAGTTTGTTAGGTTGCATTTTTTATTAAGCATTTCTAAGAAAAGGAGAAAGGAAGGAAAAAAAAAACATAGCAGGTAACACATACATACATACACACACATATACATATACATACATACGTGTGTGTGTGTGTTTTATATACAGAACATCAAGATGAAGGTCAAAATTCTCAGTGTTTCATTAATTAGGAGTATAAATAAATGTAAATCAGTTTAAAAACTACCAGTCCATATTAACCTCCAAGTAATATATGGATATGGATAGCCATTCTCCGCATAGCATAAACCGGGGGTCTCCAACTTTGGCAACTTTAAACCTCGAGGACTTCTGGGAGTTGAAGTTTTCCAGGCTTAAAGTTGCCAAGGCTGGAGACCCCCGGTATAAACCATAAAGAGGCCAACATTTAAAAGCAGGTGAGCTCCACCCTGGAGAAAGCCCCCCCCCCCCTGCTGATCTGGGTGTTGGTCTTTCTTTTCCCCTCAGGGACGCCAGGACAGCAGCCCACCAAGTCCCTGCCAACTGTGGGACCCCGGAAGCCGGACCAGAGGCCCCCAGACAAGCCAAACCGCCCCCCCCAGCCCGGCCCCCCTGACCAGCTTGAGCCCAACATCTGTGATGGCGACTTTGACACGGTGACTGTTCTGCGTGGAGAGATGTTTGTCTTCAAGGTGCTCCTCTTTGCGTTGCTTCTCATGGAGGTTTCAGGGGCTTCTGTGGTGGGGACAGCTGATCCCGAGGTGCAGGTCGATGGTTCTGGAGGGCTTGCCTGGGCTTTGGCGAGCAGGTTGCCCCCTCAGCCCCGCAGAGCCCTTTCCCAAGAGCAGAGGCACGCTTGCTTGGGCATCCTGTGGGCGCAGGAGCTGGTATTTGCTTGCCTGGTTCCTGGCCCCAAATGACACCATCCCAGATGCCAGCTGAAGAAGGCTGGTCAGGCCTGAGGCCCAGCCTGGTCCATCCCTTACGTCCCTCACAGTCACCAACCAGTTTCTTTAGGTACCTGCAAGGAGGAGACCTTGTAACCCCCGCTCGTGTCTTCCGGGGGGCCTTCACTCAGCAGTGACATTGAGATTCAAGTCCATCCATTCTTGGCCAATCAAGAACCGGCCATCATCACATCTGCTAGGAATGAATTATCCGGAACGGCTTCAGCTGAAAAAGACTGCTGGGATGAAGTCAGGCTCCGTGGGGGGGGCTTCTTTTCCCTGCAGGAAGGCCCCCTCTCATGCCCCTGTCGGAATCTGATTCCGAGGGGGAGGCCGAGCAGCTGACAGGGAGTGGGAGTGTGGCTCCATTGGCTGTGCAGGAAACTGGGGAAGGGCAAAGTCCAGCTGGGCAGAGCAGGGGAGAGCAAGGCAGAGGGAAGCAGGATAGAGCAAGGCAGAGACCCAGGCCCACCCCCTCTTCATCCTAAGGCACGCAGGGAGGAACGGAGAAGGGAGCAATGTGAGTTGTGTGGCTTACGGGGGAGGAAAGGGCCCTGATTCCCTTCATTAGCTGCAGCTGGGAACACAGTGTTTAAAAAAGGAAGCTGCGCACAGTAAAGTTGTTGGAAGCAAATCGTGAATTATCTGGTATCGTGGAGGCTTTTCCTGGCATCTTCCCAAGTGTGTGTGTTTTGCTGGCCTTTCAAGTCTGCAATTCCTTCTCCTGCCCTGTCAAGTTAATTGCTGCAGGGTGGTTTGTGTGGATTTTTAGTTACGGTTTGCATGTACTTTGTTTTCGGACTGAATTTCCTCCACTTAAAGGCTGTTCCTGGGAGTTTTTCTCCAGCCGAAGGTAACAGGACATTGGGGGCAAAGTTGGAGATAATGTAAAGGGGCTCTTCTTGCTTATCTGACTATGTTGCCTTTGTGCCACGGCCCTTTGGGTCATCACAGCCCAGTCCAGGGCACCTCCTTGGCTGAGAGCCACCTGTCAGGAGGATCCCTATGTCCCTTGGAGCGGAGGGGTGTCACCATAGAACTGCCCCCCCCCTTACTTCCCCACCCCTGGCAAAAATATTGGAAAGGAATTCTGCCACGTTAGGAGAACCAATTGCTCCTCATTTCTGTGGCCCTTTTGCAGAGAGCCGGTTTCCTGCTCTGCGTTTTGAATGACTCCGGAGTCTTCGGCCCTTTGCTCGCCAGGATGGGGGGGGGGGGGGGGGAGGGGCCGCCGGCTCGGGGGGGGGGGCAGCCGTGCTGGGACTGCACTGCTGGGGGGGCGGGGGCAAGTGGCCCCCTCACGGGTGTTTGGGCTGAGCCGGAGGCCGAAAGAGGGGTGGGCTTTGCTGCTCCCAGGGCTACGTTCTCCTTTGCTTGCGCCTTTGTGCCCTCTCGAGAGCCCAGCAGAGGCCCAGCTGTCTTCCTCTCATGTCAGGGGCTGGGTGCCGGCTTGCTTCTTTTCAGGGCCGCTGGTTCTGGAGGGTGCGGCACAACCGGGTGCTGGACAACTACCCCATGCCCATCGGGTACTTTTGGAGGGGGCTTCCTGGGAACATCGACGCTGCCTACGAGAGACAAGACGGACGGTTTGCCTTCTTCAAAGGTGAGGGGCTTCAGCCGTGGGCAGGAGGGGAGAGCAGACGTTCGGCCAGGCCGGGTGATTCCGGCTTCAGAGCAGCCTCGGGGCCCCCGCCCTGTTCAGGGAACCAGGGGCCCAAGTGGGAGGTGGCCTTGGCTGTGTCCTCAGTCGTGGCCCTCCTGGCTGTCCAACCCCCCTCCATGCCAACCTCTTTGGGGGGAGGTAGCAGTGCCTGGGAGGTGCCTGGGAACTGGCAGGCCGGTCCTAGCCTCCGGGACAGAAAGGCAGCTGGGATGAACCTGAGATCCTAATGCAAGGCAACAGGTTCCCTTTGCTAACTGGGACTTATTCTTAAAGCCAAGCACTTGTAGGATAAAGCTGGTTACACCAGAGGGAAAAAGGAGGGAGAGCATGTAAACAGTCTCTATCAGCACAAAAGACCCGGGTTTTGGGTCAGGAGGGACAAGAGAAAACAGAAACC